TAAATTTAAAATATAATTTTTTAATTGTTGACTAAAAAAACTTTTTTCTACAGATATTTAATAAAGTATTTTTCCTAAGAACATCTTTCATAAGAAATAAGAACCTAAATTCATACCTTTATTCTCAGTTCTATATTTCAACACTGCAATCACCACTTCTGGAATCAACTTACTCATTGTCTGTATAGATAACTTTTTCAACTAAAAATATCACTAAAATAACATCACTCAAAAATTTTGAAATTGGAGTTGGTCATTCTGTGGTTTATAAAAGCAAAGAAAGTTGTGTGGTTTATTAAAGCAGAGGGAGTGACTAGATTTTTATTGCCTGTCATCGATATATTAAATAGACATTATGTAATTATAATGGTCTTAATGAATTGTTATCTGTAAGCATTAAGCGTTAGTTCCTTTTAAAATGCACTTCAAAAAATTTTACAATAGCCCAGCATTGCTAGAAAATAATTTCTATTCAAGGTAGATCAGGTAAGTGAAAATTGTGTGTTGCGCGCAACTGATTTTTCTTCACTAATTACATTGATTTGATTGATAATAATTATAGATATTTAAATTTTTTATGTTATAACATTTAAATCTTGTTGACATATGTAATAGCTTGCCTCCGAATGTGCTTAGTAATCGTGATTTTTTGTGAACTGTCATCCGTTATAAATATCTTGATGGGATTTAACCGGAAAATTTGTTTGATTCCTAAAACTTGATATTAAACAGCATATTGTCAATGTATTGAAAAAAGTCAAAGAAATAAAATCAACAATCAATTGAAAATCATAATTTTTTTCTCTACTATTTTGCAACAGCCAATACGGAGGATCATCCAAAATAAGGAATTTATTTTATTCAGTATGTACTTATATTTTTGGAGCATCTTTCTAATTCAAGGATTATCTTGATTTATAGTACATAAAACTTTTTTTTGTCTTTTTAAAATGAACAAAATCCGAGATGCGCAGTATTTTAAGTAACAATGATTGTATTGTTAATTGTTAGTGAATGAATGATTTATTTAAATAGTTTATATCAGAGATCTCCAAACTACGATCCTCCGGCAAATACCTTTAATCCGGCCCGCTAAAGATTCTTTTATTAGATGGAAAAAGTTTAAAACTAATTTAAAATATTAAATTTAGCAAATTACTCACACACGTAAACAACATTAAAATGACCTAAACAACTACAACATTGATTGCATGTTTTGGTTTATTATTCTCAATAATCAACCATTGTGAACGACCAAAAATTTCATAAACTTAATTCCCTCTCAAAATTTGAGGTTTCACGTTTCAGGATGAGTAGAATTCGAAAAACGAATAAAATTTTTTTTGTCCGTCCGCCGTCCGCGCATTTTCTCCGAAACTACTGGACCAATTTTTTTCAAATTTAAATATAAAATCAGAGGTCACCCGAGGATGATTCTCCTTCATCGACATTATTATCCGCATTTTACTTTCAAAATGGCGGCCGAAAAACCTACGATGCTATAGACTAGCGCCTAAACGAATGTAGCGATTTCAATTAAACTTCGCTAAAGTCATTTTCTCTACGCCCTTTAAATTCATCTATATAACATACTTCAACGAAAAGAAACTGGAAAAAAAGTAACGAGGGATGGTAAAATTTAATTCTGAATAACTCAAAAAGTTTAAACTTTTTGGGAATGTTGTGATATGATGTTTCAAAGGTATTTAAATTTTCTAAAAAATGAAGGAAGTTTCATCGAAATCAAAGCACTATTGGCACAGATATTGCGATTTTTAGATATTTTTGGTCTATTACTTTCAATGCTCAAGGACCCATGGTTTTTTAATAGTTTACGAAATTTCCTAAAAACAAAAAAAAAATCGTTATAATCGGGCAATTAGGAGCAATGATATGATCTCTTTTTTTTTTTTATATGTTCTACCCAAATGTTATATCCTTTGTTTGGTTTTTAAATTTGAATGTGTTACTGAAGTAATGCTATTTTTTTTTTAGCATATTACTAATGATTAAAAAAAAAGTTTAGTCGAATAATTGAAATCACCTTTTATGTATTTTTCTTTGTAACTAGAAGGTAATGTTACTTTATATGTATAATTGTTTGGAAATAATAAACCATTGTGGAATAATTCGCAGCTTTTTTTTTTTTTTCTCTTTGAAAGCTCATTTCGCAGCTGAAATGTCATTTATTGAACAAGCTTACAAGCTTTTTTTTTTCATCACAAGCCATTGCCCGCGGAGCTTGGTGTGAGTATGTCAATGCGGCCCGCGGAAATTATTCAATGTCTCAATATTGCCCGGGGGCCAGAAAGTTTGGAGACCCCTGGTTTATATTAACAAACCCGACCGTACCACACTCAATTTTTTGTGTAGGAAAATAAACAGGAGCCTTCATAATTATTCATTTAAAGTTGCTTCAAGGGTTTGATAGAGTCCAGTTAATGGATAGACTACTGTACTCAAGTACCACCATCTCCAAATGAATGAACTGAAATGAATAAACATTTATTCATTCATTAAGAACCCATCCATTCATCAAAACAATTTTGAGTAGTTATGACACTCACACTTCAAACCAAGATGCAGATATCTATCCAGAGAGTATGCAGATAAGACACCTGAATGATTCACGAGCGTCTTTAACGGCTGATCTATTCTGCATTTTCAATTGTTTACTACCTCCATGGACTGCCATTATGAAATGATCTTTGCTGCCCGGCGTTTACGTTTTATTCATTCTCTATATGAATAGAAATATAAGAAGAAATGCTCCCTATGTTTGTTATAATGGTAGCTTAATTCAGAAAATTCCTTCGAATAAATTGAAGAAATAATAGATATCACATTGATCATTTAAATAGAACATTTACAACAGTAAGAATATACAATACATAGATAACTTTTCTGTTTCTACGCCGTAGTCTGTTTAACTAATCTCATAAAAATATTTGTTTAAATCATATATAATTGTTTCTACTAAATGGTCTCCTAATACAAAATATATATAAAATCCATTCTCTCTATATTTAGAGAATTCAATTAAATTATACTACCAAATTATTTTCCATGAGACCTAAGGATAAACATAACAGGGATGCATGGCGAAAGGTGCGCCATCAAATTATTTAAAGAGTGTACATTTTCCGGAATATGATTGTTTTTTTAAGGAACCATGTTTTTGTGGTTTCAACCTGGAAGAGCATTCAAACCGGGGAACAAAGTAGAATAGACAAAAAATAATACAATATATGTATTACTATACGAGCCTCTCAGTTGACAGAATGACTTACTCCAATTTCAACATGGAAAATTTATACCTTTATTCACAGTTCTATATTTCAACACTGCTATCATCTACTCTGGAATCAACGTATTCTTTCTGTATACATTTTCTTTCTGGGAATACGAAGTGAGAAGCTACGCCAAAATGCTCCTAAGAACTTGACATCATACGTGATCGTCCTCTCCCCAATAATCGGGATTACCAAAGTAAAATTGAAATCAATAACAAATAATCTACATAAATGAACAAAATTTCTTTATAAAATCAATTGAAAAAATAGGAAAAGTAGACTAGACTGCTGGTATATGGCATAGAAGTAGGAACTAAGCATTTCACCACGGCCTAAATGATCTTATTATTTAAATGTTCAGTTATATTATACACATCCTCCACTCTCGTAGGTTCGCACATAGACACGCTACATCTAGTCGATATATACATACTAGCTTTACCCGGCCACGCGCTGCTGTGGCTTAGCCTGGCAAAATGAAAAAGAAAGAAAATAGAAAGCACATATGAGTAGATTAATAGCAAAGGACATCTGTCATTTTTAAAAAGTTGGAAAACAAATTTGTCTGTAAAATGGCTTCAATTTAAACTAATTCTAATGATTTTTTTTTTCTCATGATTCAAATTGAACATTCATAATCATCTGAGTGAATACACCGTCATTCATAATCATCAGAAACAGTCTGAGTTGAACTTATAAAACTAAATTAAAAATTAATTTAAAAAAACGTATAATAATAACATTGACCTACATAAGGAGAATCATATAACTTATTCAAATGATAATTTCAATTACTGTAGTAATTATAAAATTTTCAATTAATCAATAAAAAAAATGCTTGCCGACGTTCAGTGGTGAGGAAGCAAATGGAAGCGGCCTTTTCTGAAGAGAAAGCAGTAAATGTTTAAAACACTATAACTCTGCAACGAACCGTCCGATTTCGATGATTTTTTTTTGTCAACAATTCATCAATCTTTCATAGAAATATGGGTATTATCAGTCAATATAGAATATTGAATTCATCGTAACATTTTTCAGCTTGTTTTCGGGAAAGTATGTTATACACATAAATCAAAAGGGTTTCAATGGGAAGAGTTTCGTTAAAATCGGTAAAGCCGTTTTGGCGCTACAGTTTATAGCGACACATTTTTTTGCGGCTTTGGACAGTAAAACATTTACATTTTTATTTTTTTTACATATATGAAATTATCGTAAGAAAGAATTACTATGCCAGAAACCTTCCCAGGAGTGTACGGAACAACTTCCCAAAGTTTCATGGCGATCGGTTGAATGGTTTAGAAATGCACTTAGGACAAACAGACAGACATACATTCATTCTTATATATATATATAGATTAGGAAATAATAAACCATTATGTAAAAATTTACAATTTTTTTTCTTATTCTTAAAATACCCCATCCTGTTTCATTTCTATCTATGGGTTAAACGGGTCTGTGCACAGTAGCTATCTTAACCCACTTTTTTTTCCATTTATACAATAATCCTTCTTAGTTATGGTTTTCTGTCGGTTATCTTCTGTATTATCTGTGTTTCATTTTTATTTAAAAAAGTTATTTTTGATTGTATAATTTGTTGAAAGAACTATATTATACGCTGTCTTTTTTTTTCTTTTTTTTTTATATTGCTCATTGAATTGATACTATTAATCTGGTACAGTTGATAATGTTTTAACGTTTTTGTTGTAGGGATGGAGTGACCGGCAGGCCTGTGCAAAGATAGGAGGATGGGATACGGAACCTAACACCCAGTACCATATCCAGACTGACGAAGGCCCAGAAAGGTTCTTCAGGTACCAGACTATCAGCGGTCAGTACCGCAAGGAAAAGAGGCTGCAAGACGGTAGCGTCGTAGGCACCTACGGATGGGTGGACGCCAACGGATACCTCCGCCTGAGGGACTACATCGCCGATGACAAGGGCTACAGGATAGTCCGGACCAAGATGGTACGCGTCGGCCAGGAGCCGTCCACAACTACCACGACAACGCCGCGCCCACCGCCCATCGCCCTCAGTGACTACCTCAAGGAGAAGCAGGCGGAAGAATACAGGCCACAGAGTGTAGAAATAGTTCCCAATGGTTACCCCAGTTCAACTCCTTCTCCGGTTAACAGCTACATTCAGCCGACGACATATCGCCCTTACCTCTACAACTTGAACTCTCTGGATCAGAAGCCTTACGAGAGCCAACAGCAGCTGGTACAACAGCAGGTTCTAGCAGTCCAACAACAGGTACAAGCTGCTCAACAACAACAGTTCCAGAGCGCTCAGCAGCAACAGTTCCAGAGCGCTCAGCAGCAACAGTTCCAGAGCGCTCAGCAACAACAGATACAGGCTGCTCGACAACAGGCGCAACCGCCTCAACAACAAGAAGTGCCTTACGACGGAGTTTCCTTAACACAGAACGGTTTTAGGTACTACTTGCCTCGCCACTACCACGAAGAGGAGACCGCTGGTGACAGAAGAGCTGGAAGTTTCGGTTACATCGACCCGTTTGGCATCCGAAGGGTTATCTACTATAATACAGACCCTTCTTCAGGGTTCGTCCACAGAAAGACCAACAGATATGTAGGTTTCAATGCCACGCCCTACGACCCGAGATATTAGCATTAGTTATTCAAGGGATTTATGAAAAAAATCCAATGAAGCTAAACCAGTGTCAGCTAGAATTAGTTTGTGTCCTTGCAAGATTGATCCAAAACAGACTTTGGTTTTAGCTTTAAATTTGTGATAGCTTGTAACATAGTGTTAAATGCTGAGTGGATTTCTTATTTCTAATATTCAATGGGCATAAGTTACTTAATAGTATTGTCATTACTTTAAATTCAAGTAAAACGAAGAGAGGCCGACATTATTTATTTGAAATGCTAGATAAAGTTTTAGTATGCTAGAATATAATGGGGAAACTCAACTGATAAAATGAGAAATCCACTAAGATATATTCTTCTATCACTTCTCGCTAATAAAAGTAAGACATTTAAGGTGACACCTACTAGTCTCTTTAACAAATTAACAATTAGTAATTATTTATATTACTACTAGACTTTCTTTAAGATCACATTTATCCCCCCACTCCTTCCAAAAAAATTATGTTTGTAGTCTAACAATTAGATCTATCCCTATGCTAATACCACCAGAGTTAAGGTGCCATAGAGGCGTTGACAATGAAGGCACATTGGGAAAATGAGCCCTGGTTTCAATGCCTCAATCCTCTATTTATTTACTTGTAAGATTATTATTATAGTTCTTTGATAAAACATAATGATACAGTTTATGTTATAGAGTTACAAATTGATTTATGATTGTTCACTAATGTAGTTTAGGCAAAATTAAAATAAAAATTATTGATTTTGCCTGCATCCGAAATGTAGATTTTATAATTCCTTCTGAATAGAAGTAAATAAGGAACTTTTCTACAGTGTTTTGAAATAATTTTTTTGTAATAATTCGTAGTTTATTGTGGTGCAAAAAGTAATACATTGTAAACTTTAAATTCATTGAGAGAAATATTTTCTGTGAATATTTTATCAAAAGGTCTTATGCAAAAGGTAATTGTATGTTTACAAAAAAAAAAAAAATACATTAAATTCTAATACGATGTTCGATTTATTTATTATACATCTATCCTAGAATTATAATTAGTTTAAGTAACTTTTCACAATTTAGATGGATGAAGTAGATAAGAATAAATTATACTTATGCTTACTACTTTTTTTTATTGAAATTTACAACTGTATTAAATGATCATTACAACAAATCACAGGCAGATTTACGGGGGGAGAGGGGGGCTTTCGGGCTGAAGCCCCCCTCCCAAAACGGTAAAATATATCATGTCTATAAGACATGGTATAGACAAAAATATTAAATACAACCTCTTAAAGTATTATTGTTCATGCCATATTAAATTACATTTAATAGGACTTCAAGAATCACTTAAACACCTTTTCATATACGTAGTTCATTTGTTTCTTTTTTTTTTTCAAATTAATTATCGTTATATAGATGAAAAAAAATCTTTCGGGCTGAAGCCCCCCAAAATTAAATTCTGGATCCGCTAGTGCAACAAGTAATTTTGTATTCTAAACTTTTATTGAGTATTAATACAGTCTGCCACACTAAAGGGCATTGTTTCTAGAGCTATAGTATTCATTCACACAATATGTACATAAGAAAGGGGGAAAAAGTATATATATATATATTTATATTTATATATATATATATATATATATATATATATATATATATATATATATATATATATATATATATATATAAATAAAAAGATAAAGTAATATACAAGATAATTAAAACAACAGATCAGCCGAGTAATAATAAAACACATTCACACCTATGTACAATATTTATATTGGCCCAGGGGACTCCGAATCAAGCTTTGTCTCCCAACTGTGGAAGCCAAAGCAGGACTCCAGGAGATCCTAGTGCTTCTCTCCCAGCCGCGTCACAGTGCAACAAGTAAATATGAAATAAGTCGCATGACATGTATAACATGAGGAGAAACTATCCATTGGTAGCACTCCAATTATATTTCTATATTAGGTCTCGAATACATCTTCTTTTCAGACGCCGAGGAGAGTTATCAGAAATAGAAAGAAAGTCAATTTTATTATGGGACATTTGGTTTCCTCAAAATAACTAGAATGAACAGAGAAATGACAATTGTATGGCGATTGTGAATAATTAAATGACAATTAAAAATAAATAAATAATTGGTAATTGGTTGACTGTCGTGGATAATGTAGAGAAGAATAGTTGGGGTGGTCAGTCAAAAAGGAAGGCTAAAATAAATGATAATATTTATTTTTACATATGCCGACGTTTCGACCTGAAGTTCAGGCCTTCATCAGGGCTGTCTCCTTAAGTGTTGCAGGGAGAATCAATTCAATTCAAGACCACCCCAACTATTCTTCTCTTAACTGAAAGTTTTTAATATTCCTAAGGAATATTGGTGGGGGTTTGGGTTCCCTGGGGGTGGGTGCTGCTTCCATTTCTTCGTTTTGTGTATTTGATAGCACTTGAAATGGGTTCTGAGTGAAAAACGGCGATTCTTCACCAGTCTGAGTTGTCTCATGATTGTTTTGTTGTTGTGAGGTACCAGGTTGGGGATCCACTTCTTCAACAGAGCTCCCTGGTGTGGCTGGTGGAGTATTTCTTTTCGAACGTCTTGTTCTTTTTTTAATAGGAGAACTCATTGTAGTATCGAGGCTTCTGGACCTAGTATTTTTACCCTTGCTCGACATTAGCATATGATAATATCGCATTTCAAATTATAAATGATAGGAAAAGTTGTTAAATGAGAAGCGATAACAATTTTTTTTTTTTTTTAAGCACGGAAATATATACGCGTGCTTAGAGAGGACTAGTCGGCACAGAACCTCCTCGGACGGAGAGCCAGAGCCCACTGGTGGGATTAGCGATGTTATGGCCGGCCGTTATCAGTAACTAACCAGAGGTCTATTTACACTGTTCACTATTGAGCTGTAAATAAGTGATTACTCACCTTATTCTTTTGTTCAGTAACAAACTTAATTGTTAATATAACAGGTAACACTGTTGTTTCGCATTGAAGTTGAGCACTGCCACTATTAATGAAGAATTTTGTAAGAGACGACCTGACGTATGTTTAACTTAGGCTAACGCATGCGCAGAACTCTCGTGATCTAATGTAGACATATCATTAGAGTGCTACCATTGGGTAGTCACTCAGCAAGTGTTTTCATGTCATTATATCCATATGTTCAAATTCACTAGATGTATTTATATAATACAGTTGTAAATATCATTAAGAAATAATTTAAATAAAAAAGAGTGAATTTGAGTAAACTAAAATGACGTTCATAAAATACCTGACATTTCTTTTTAAAAGAATTAACGTTATTATCGTCATAAAGTTCCCAAATTCAGAATACTGTTCGGAGTTCACACGATACCTGGCCTAAAAATAAAACTGCCTTCGGTTCCTGATAGGCCACCTACTTTCGGACTTCTCGGCGACCTTACGATGACCTAGCTGCCGCCCATGGATAGAATGACAACACCACCTACGAGAGGCGACAGTACCTCATCAACAGTCCCTTGGCGTCACCTTTATAACTGAATCAGCTGTAGCCGTTTCTTCCAAATATATGTATGGTATGGGAAGATATACACGAGTATATACATATATATATATATATATATATATATATATATATATATATATATATATATATATATATATGTATTTTTTTAAATTATTTATTTATCTCCACAGGCCAACGATGGATCACAATCATTTTTAAGGTCTTTTTCTTTTTTTTCATCCCCTCCCCATATTCATTATTCTCCCCTCTATCGATTTGTTACTTCCTTGCTTCTTCTTATCGACTACAAGAATCATTATATTTTTCATTATTTTCCCGAATTTATCCCTATCTTAGTAGTCCCCTTCTTTGATATCTATTTTTTTCACTTTTTCTTTTATTTGGTCCGGATAACTTATATATTCTTCAGTCCCATTTCATTATCAAATATTTATTTGTTCAGCCTATTCCGATCCATTCTCTTCCTATGTCCGAAGAACTTTAAATCTTCTTTTTCCCATCGATGATTCCAAGTTTTCAATATGTTCATAAAGCTCATCGTTCTTTTTTAATATGTATTTTTCCCCTAACTTTCTCCGCCCGTATATTAATCTCAGAATCCAAAAGTCTTCGCCCCATAGAGTATCACCGGTTCTATGACTTTTTGGCTTTCTTGGAAAGATATATATATATATATATATATATATATATATATATATATATATATATATATATATATATATATTATATATATATATAATATATATACGAATTAATTTAATTTTATGGACCCATAAATTGTTATCTAGTTACATAAAATAAATAATTTAAAAAATACATAGGTAGTTTAAATTAATTTTACAAGTATTACTTATAGATCTTAGAATAATTAATTATTCAGATTCATAAAATAATTGATAATGCTAGATAGCCAAAATTATATCTAATAAATCAGTGTTTAATTATCATCGTAATGAACTAACGCCGATTAAGAGTACCTTTAGGTACCGGTTGTTCGATGTCTAAGATGTTCATGAATTTGATAAGTTGTCGGTTAAAAATCTCCTTTCAGTTGGTTATCATTATCGTAACCATTTTGAGACTCTGGTGGCTAGCACATTTCTTTTTTAAATAAAAAGTGCAATAATACTAAGCGGGATTAAGGCAGGTTTCTTTCTGCCAACCGAACAAGTGATCTCTTGAGCTTTATAAATCAAATCTTCTTATTTTTCTTTTTTTATTAGGAAGCCTACGTTTATAATTTTTTCATATTTAAGACAATAAAACTTCCACTTTTCTTCAAATTCTTTTAATAAAATTTTTGTCTCTTAGGTTTCTGGACAATTTTCCCTTCATCAGAGCAATCTTCATCTTTACTGAAATTATGCACATTTTATATTAACTTTGATTTAACAATACCATTCTACTTCATCCATTGTACATTGCTTATTATTATTTGCCTTTCTTTTTTTACCTTTGACTTCAAAAACCCAGAAATACTAGCAATAAAACCTAAAACAAATAATAGGAAACTACTGGAAGCTATACATATAACAAAATTTACACATCTTAACATGTTTATTGATACACTAATCAACATCTTGCTATCTTTAGTTTTATTTCTGTACTTTGTACCCGTCCTCTTATTTCTTGTTTTGGCTGTTTATTGTTTTTTGAATTTTAATATTGGATATTAAATAGTCCGAATAGTGTGTACTTAAATGTTTTGTATCTGTTTTGTAGTTTACTGTTCTATTATTATTTTTTGTTATATGTATAGCTTGCAGTAGTTTCCTATTATTTGTTTTATGTTCTATTGCAAGTATTTCTGAGTTTTTGAAGTCAAAGGTAAAAGGTAAATAATTGTACAATGGATGAAGTAGAATGATATTGTTAAATAAAAGTTAATATAAAATGTGCATAATTTCAGTAAGATGAAGATTGCTCTGATGATGGGAAAATTTTCCCGAAACGTAAGAGACAACAAATGTTATTAAAAGAATTTATTGCCTTAAATATGAAAAAATAAATCAAATCATGTTTAAATTCGAATCTGCCTGTCCCTTTCCTCTGGGTTTTGTAGTCCTGCAGGTTGGGTAGTTTGTGATTTTTTTTTATTTATTTTTTTTTTTTATTGTTGTTATAATTCGTAATGTGAGGGTTTATAATCTTTATATATTTTTTTATGATTTCCTTATTTTATATTGTATTAATCATTCATCATCATATGCGTTTTTTGGATTTCTTTTTTTAATTTGAGTGTAAACTTACATATTTTCAGATGCTTGAAGAGCTATATCTTCCTGAGCCTTGGGCCTTGGTAGTCAGTGACCTACCCACTGAACTACGCTAATCTAAAAAAAAACAAATTCTAGTAAGGGAAAAAAAACAGAGAAAGATATAATGTGTTAAATATTTTTAAAAATGCCTTCTTTGGACAGCAATGAGATGACCATTCACGAATTGCTTCTCATTTCTCTAAGCGGATAATACTTATACAGTTATTCATATTCCATTT